TGAGAGATGTAAGTATATTGGTGCTGTTTGCTGCTGCAGCAACAGCAGCAGCAGCAGGAATCCTAGAGCTCGGGCTTAGCCTCAGAAAGAGGCTGATTGGGGGCCCCCCAACAGATACAAGGAGGAGGGGTTTACGTGCTGTGTTGTTGTTATTGGTGGGGTTGTTGTTGCTGCTGCAGCATGCAAGAAACACTGCAGCAGCAGCAGCAGCAGCAGCAGCAGCAGAAACAAATGAATTTGCTGCTGCAGCAGCAGATCTACACCTCTTCGCTCTCGGTATGGGGATTTTCATCGGCAGCAGCTTGCTGCTGATAGCAGCACAGCTGCAGCCGCAACGAAAGCAGCTGGAGCTCTTTGAGTTGACGGCTTTGTTAGAGGCAGGAGAGGAGCTGCAGCAGCAGCAGCAGCAGCAGCAGCAGCAGCAGCAGCAGCAGCAGCAGGGGGAGGGGGAGGGGGAGGAAATGCAGCTAACGCAGCAGCAACAGGAAATGCAGCAGCAGCAGCAGCAGCAGCAGCAGCAGCAGCAAAAAACGCAGCAGCAGCAAGAAATGCAGCAAGGGGAAATGCAGCAGCAAACGGAACTGCAGCAGCAACAAAAACAGCAGCAGCAGCAACAGAAGCAGCAGCAGCAGCAGCAGAAGCAGCAGCAGCAAAAACAGAAACAGCAAAAACAACAGAAACAGCAGCAGCAGAAGCAGCAGCAAAACAAATCTCAAAGGCTCAAAGGCCCTGGACCCCACAACAACCAAAAAACAAAATAAGGGTTTAGGGTTTAGGGTTTAGGGTTTAGGGTTTAGGGTTTAGGGTTTACGGGGTGCATCACGCACAGAAGGCGACACCCTACAACTTGTGGATATCTAAACCCTCAACCCTCTGCAACTGTCTGCAGCTACCCTGCTGCATAGCTAGCTAGCTAAGTAAGTGGCTAGCTAGCTAGCTAACTAGCCAGAGGGCCAGATGGGGATGTCTCCACCGCTGAGCCGCCGGCAAGGTAGCTAGCTAGCTAGCTAGCTAGCCATCTAGCTAGCTAGCTAGCTAGCTAGCCATCTAGCTAGCTAGCTAGCTAGCTCAGTGGCTAGCTAGCTAGCTAGCTAGCTAGCTAGCCAGGCACATAATATTTCCAGCAATGAAGCGGATAGGCGGCGCGGTC